GAGAGAGAGGAGAATGGAAGAATATAAACTTTATATCCAACCTTGATCAATCTAGATGCCTTCCTCTAATGATGCCAGAAACCTGAGTGAACCAAGGACACATTAATCATTACTAAATAAAACCTCAGGCTCTATAGTAGCTATCAATCATTAAATGGAAAAGAGCAAGACCTGAGGTAGGAAAGGGGAAACAGGAAAGCTATATGATCATTCAGATCATGTATTTTTTTTCTTTTGTGTGTGTAGTATATGTGTGCGTGCATATATTTGTACATGCATGTGCACATATGGGTACATACCCATATGGAGGCCAGAGGTCAACATCATTTTTATTTGCCATTTCAGCTAGACTTGCCAGCAAGTCCCCAGGATCCACCTGTCTCTGACCCTCTCCTCCAATGTTGGGGTTATATATACATACTGCCACACCTGACTTTTACATGGGTTCTGGGGACCCGAACTCAAGCCCTCATGCTTGCTCAGCAGGCCCTTTACCCACTAAGCCATCTCCCCAGGCCTGATTATGAATTTTTAATTGAGTTATCATCAAGAAAGACTTTCAGTGGGAAAGCCCGTCTCTACCACAGGAAATCCAGCATGTGCCCCACAGTTCTCTTAGTCATCACTGAAGTTTGGTGATGCTTTCCCAAGAGAGTCACTACAAAACTGCTGTGACTCCTTTGTTCCACCTTAATGTTCCCCTACCTAACTTACTGAACAGATTTTCAATCTGATTCAATCTCTTCCTGTTTAAATATTTTAACTCTCTTGAAGAGGGTTCTAGATGTGGAGTGTGTTAGTGCACATCTTTAACACTAGCAATAGGGAGATAGAGGCAAGTGGATCTCTGTGAATTTGAGGACAGTCCACCTAGTGAATTCCAGGCCAGCCACAGTTACATGGTGAGACCTTGTCTCAAAAAAAGGGAAGTCTAAAACATAAAAGTTCTGAAAACTATATTATCTCAAACACCTTAGCAGAAAAGATTATGAACACATCCTGAGCATTGCCAGAAAGCAGAGCTGGCTTACTTGTTACTGGTCACCCTGAAGGTCAAAGGCTGGACAGGAAGCTTGGTAGCTGTCTCCTCTGCATTCAGCACCACTAAGATTACTTGCATTAAGTGAAATTCTCACCTTTAATGACTCATCCAGCCCAGAAGAGGCAGGATTACAATTACTGCCTTATACAACTATTTCAGTCCACACAGAACTACACGTAAGAACAAGGTCACTGTCCAAATTGCTACATGAAAATAGCTACCTGCCTACGTCCCTCTTTCCACACTTGTACCCTTACCAGATCTTCAGTTCAGCCTTCCGTGAAGGAATCTCAGCTTAAAGAATTTCCAGCAGTTGACTTAATCTTTCTCAAGAAAAACTTTAGAACAACTTCTGTTCTAAGAAACTTTCAGGAGCTAGGCACACCATCAGTTGACTGGTACAAAGATCTAGCACATTTATCAGTAAAGTTATAATGCCAAGTACACTGTTTTCCAAGGGGCATTTGAACCTTTGTATAATATTTAATCTTTTCAATCATTCACATCAATGTTGATTTTCTCAATTTTCAGTCCCCCTGGAGATATGAGATCTTTAGAAAAAAATTACTCTTTTCTTTATAATATTCTAAATAGGTTTTCCTTATTTTTTTAAAAAATTTGCAAAAACTTAAAGGACTGCCAGTCAGTCAGCCTTTTGAGAGCAAGCTCTGGGACAATGTATTGACCAAGAACTTAGTGCAAGTTTAATATGAAGATCATGGCTTCAAATGGAAAAGGCACAGTGAAGCAGATTACGAAACTTCTTTAATTCATCTTCAAAATTATCACACAATTTGACCTACTAAAACACACTGTGTAAATAAATAAATAAGTAAATGCCATTTGGGCACAGCACTTAGGCTGAGGTAGTAGGATCACAAGTTCAAGACCAGCAGGGGCTACACAGCAAGACCCTGTCTTAAAACAAAATAAGCTGTGAATGAGGCAGGTGAACTCAAAAGGTCAGTATGTTTAATGAAGAAGTCATGAGTTATCTTGGCATTGTGGCACATACCTTTAATCCCAGCATTCGGGAGACAGAGGCAGACAGATCTGCGATTTTTGAGTACAGCCTGGACTATCCAGTGAGACCCAGGCCAGCTAGGGTTACAGAGCAAGACCTTGTCTCAGAAAACAAACAAAATAAGAAATCTAGAGTTGTATCATTCACAGATTTATAATCAATAATAAAACTATGCACTATGTCAAAATTATCACCATTTCTTTATTAAGAATTTGTTAATTAAAGCTAGCTAGCTTTCGGGTTTTATCATTCACGCTATGAATAAATGTTTTAGCGCCCTCTACTGACCACTTGTTACATCTTCGCTCCTAACACTTCCTCCTTCCCAAGGTGCAGACCCTAAAGGCTCAGATGGTGGCTACAGCACAGGTCCCAGATCCTTCTCAAGAGTCACTGTCACAAAAAGAGGAACTTTGAAGTGCTCCCCTGCCACTGCTTGTGCACGACTTCCATCCTGACAGATTTTACAAACATCATCGAAGGATCAGTGACTTCTCATCCATATCTACATCAAATGCTCAACCATACACCTCATTTCTACAATCACACTGCCATGGGCTGAGTCCGTATCAGCCCCCTGCCTGCTTCATCTACCAGCACTCAGGGGGATGACAGCATCTGCAAAAGCCAGCTCATTTGTAGAAACAGAGGTTGTAAGGAAGACCTGGAAGCAACCCCCCCCCCAAAAAAAAGCTCATAAATCATGATTGAAATCAATTCCCTGGCGTTGGGTTTTAAATAGTCAGGATTTTTAGGGGGTGGGGGATAACAGAAGATAATTTTTCCTGTTCTGAACACACCATGTGTACTTTGTGCTGCACATACTAGTATGCCACCCAAGGCCACTGGATGCTTCTGACACACCTCTGCTCAGAGTCAACACAATTATGCTATGAATTTCAGTGTCTTCATTTTATGCATTTTTCTGCTCTTATAGAATCATAAGGTATGGTGATGCACATTTATAATCTCAGAAATGTGGAGGTGGAGACAGGCGATTTATGGGGCTTGCTGCCCAGCCAGCATGGCAAACTTAGTGAGTTTCAAGCCAGTTAAAGATCCTGTCTCAGAAAAAGAAAAAAAAGGTGGACAGCATCTGAGGAACGACAGACACCCAAGGTTGTCTTCTGGCTTCCACACAAAAGTGCACACATGTATACATACACCTACACATACACAAACATGCACACACATACATGTACACACAAAAGTGAAAGAAGCATAATAGTTTAGTTACAGAAAACAAAGATATTAAAATTTTTTCTACCATCATTCTTCATCAGGTAAATATCAAATTAGTATATTCTGGGATTTTATCATGTTAGGATGTCTGATTTCAAAAATTGCTGCTTGAGTTGCTGACTTCAACTTCATTTTTAAAAAACAGTAAATGAATTTTGGCTTGGGATGGGGACAGAATCTCCAACAATTTCTGAAATGGCCCTAAACAAACTTGTGCCACTTGATACTATGTACTACATATGCAAAGCAGCATTCTCAGAACTGATCATAAACCCAAAATGTCAGTCAGCTCTGAAAATACTGAAGTCCTGCAAACAGTCATCCAAATTTTATTCTTTATGTAAAATACCACACCTACTTCATTAGTATGCAAATTTGCTTTCATCTTAATAAATGGTAAAGTTATATGTATAGTAAAAACTTTTAAAATAAGTTTCTTTCTGATTTATCATCAATAAATGTTTGATTTGTTTACCTATTTTACATACCTAAATACCCAAGATCATGCAAAAATTTCTCAGGCAAATGGGGTTAATAGGAGAAAATTTTTCAGTTTTGAGATAGAGAAAAGGAGAGTCCCTGAGTAAAATTAAACACTAGCAACTGTGGGCCCCTTAAATCCTGCTTACTGGCTCGTTTTCTTTCAAAAAAGAAAGAGACAGCATGGTATTCATACTCAATAGTAGAAGGAAAGGATGGGGACGAGGTAAGAAAATGAAAGGCGCTGAAGAGATGGCTCAGCAGTTAAGAGCACTGACTGCTCTTGCAGAGGACCAGGGTTCAGTTTCCAGCACCCACAAGGTGGCTCACAACCATCTGTACCTCCAGTTCCAGAGAATCGGACGTCCTCTTCCGGCCTCCATGGGTATTATACACATGGTTGCATTTACATGCATGCAGGCAACACACACACACACACACACACACACACACACACACACACATTAAAAAATAAATAAATTTTGTAAAAGAAAATAAAAGATGAAAAGTTTCTTCACTCCGTAACCTGCCAGGACAAGCTAGCTACTAATCAACAAATGTTTATTGCATTGATATTATGCATTCAGTAAAAATATTCCTTAGAAAATATTAAGATCTAAAAGTAATTCCTACTATGACAGGTCAAAGCTCAGTTTGGCTGGAAAAAAACAAGTATGTGAAAGGAAATAATTAGAAAGGCCATAATGTGCTATAAATAAAAATATACATTGGAAATTCCATAAAGAGACATATACACGCTCAAATGGAAAATGATTATCAAAATATTAGTATTGGCCATCTCTGCCATGTTAACTTCTGCCATGTTATTTTATGCTCTGTAATTTTCAGTACTATTTTAATTTTCTCCAATGAAAATATAGTGTCTTTAAAAAGTGAACAGAAAAAAAATTATTTGTCAAGAACTTAAACAAATGAAAAAAAACAGTGCTTAAAACAGATTATTGTACATAGAGAATAATCCATGAACACAGTCACACAAAAATACACCTAAAGAACATGTAGCATGATTAAATGCCTTATTAAGTGTCATGGGACTACAGTGATTTGTGCTGTGTGCTTTTGTCATTTCCTCGCACTTTTATTAGAGAAAAATCAATCGTCACATAAACAAATTCAAACCTTAAACATTCTTATTTTTTTAAAAATCATCAGCAAAGATGCCTTGGGATAGCCATTTACCCAGTGGCCTACCTGGAATCAGGGCTGTGCTGATGAGGATGTCCACCTCCTTGCACTGCTGAGCAAAGAGCTTCATTTCGGCTTCAATGAACTCTTTAGACATCTCTTTTGCATACCCTCCTTGGCCTTCTCCAGATTCCTTCAAGGGCACCTCCAAGGGCTCAGCACCAAGAGACTTGAACTGCTCCAAAGCTGCAGCTCTAGGGTAGTGAGGGAAGCAGTGGTTAATTTAGACCCCTGATACATGAATCAAAATCCTCACTTACAGACACACATTTTTTTTTAAGGAAACTATATATTGTCAAAAGTCAAGAGTTTCTTTTGACGCTTCTGGCATCAAATGTCAGGGTTTTTTTACTTATTTCTTCTTTCAGATACAGGTAATACTTGTATATTGTTTCCTAGAAAAAAAATTGGAAAAATCCCAACTTCTATTTAAATTACAAAAAGAATTTCACTATTGCCAATCCTGGTTATGAGTTATATTCCTTGTGGCCCCAATATTGATGACATGAAAACTGATAAACATTCATACTCATATCGTCCAAGCTGTGGCATTTGATTTGTGAATGTTCTGAGTTTGTTCTGATTGTAGGCTTTTCCCACTAAATGACTTCCTTAGAAATATTTCAAGGTTTTAATGAAGTGATTTTTGGCTCTAGTCCTCATAAACTATAAGCTGGTTTAAAAAAAAAAAAAAAAACTGGGGCTGGAGAGATGGCTCAGGGGTTAAGAGCACTGACTGCTCTTGCAGAGGACCGGGTTCAATTCCCAGTACCCACATAGTGGGTGCAAACCATCCTTAACTCCAGTTTCAGGGGAATCAAAAGCCCTCTTCTGACCTCCGCAGCAATGCACGACACGGGTGCACTCACATACATGCAGGCAATACACTCATACATATAAAAAAATAATAATAAATAAAATATTATTTTTTAAAACCCATGTGTGGTGGTACATGCCTGTAATCCCACAGCTTAGACTGATCAGGAGTTCAAGGTCAGCTTAGACTACATGAGATCCTGCCTCAAAAAGAAAAAATGTATTATGTAAATAGATAAATGGTAAAATATGAAGAGCCAACATAACATATTTAAATTATGAAAAATATATTCAGTTTAAAAAGATAAATGCCACTCATGTATTGTATTCTGGTTAAAAAATGAGAGCCAAAAAGGATTTCAGCTCTATGGTAGAACTACTTGTTATCCATTCAGTGACAATAAATCTCAAGCTTCCTTAATAACAACAATCACTAGAACTTTTCATCAGAAATTCAAACGCAGCAATTTAAAATATTTATATGTAAGGAAAGATACCAACCAGGACTAGTGATACACACATGTAATCCCAGCTACTCAGGCGGTCAAGGCAGAAGGCGTGCAAGTGCAAGGCCTGTGTGAGCTATAAAGCAAGTTCAAGGTCCCCTGGGTAAACATAGCAAGCCCTTATTTCAAAACAAAAAAAAAAAAAAAAGACTGGGGAAGTAATTCAGTGGTTGAGCACTTGCCTAGCATGTTTAAGGCACTGGGCTTAATCCCCAATATTACTATTCTGTTTTGCTTTCTGTTGCTATGATAAAACACTCTGACCAAAAGCAACTTGGGGATGAAAGGGTTTATTTCGCTTACACATTCTGATCAAGGTAGGAATCTGGAGGCAGGAAAAAAGTAGAGCCCATAGAGGAACACTGCTTGCTAACCTGCCCCTGGCTTGCCCAGCTACCTTTCTTATACAGTCCAGGCCCACCTGCCTAAAGATGACACCACCTACAGTGGGCTGGGCCCTCCTACATCAATTAGTAATCAAAAATGCCCCAAGACATGGCTACAGGCTAATCTGATAGAGGAAATTCCTCAAGTGAGGCTCCCTCTTCCCAGGTGGCTCTAGTTTGTATCAAGTTGACAAAAACCACCCAGCACAACCACATGCACACAAAGTAAAAGATCTTCATGATCTGTATTAAATGAAAAAAGTTAAATAGTACTAAGATTAACTAGTAAGATTAAAATTTTAATTAATATGAAGGAAATGGGAGTACACATTAAAATATTAAGTTATCTCTAGTCAGTCAGGCCTTACTTTAGGGTTGTGTGTGTGTTTGTGTGTGTGTGTGTGTATATATACATGTGCTCATGCACATGCATGCACACACTTGTGCACCATGATAAAAAGGGAGTTGAGCTTCTATATTTTTAAATTTTGTAATATAAGCATTAGGCAAGATAGTCATTATTGTTAAGAAAGAAATCTTCCAGTGATAGGTTTTTGTTGGGGGGGGGGGTTGGATTTTTTTTTCTTCTTTGTTGCCTGCTTCCTTGTTTTTGGTGCTAGGGATTGAACCTCCACACATGCTAATCACATTCTCTACCACAGCCGCTCAGCCTCTAATTGTGGTTTGAAAGAATTCAAAAATAATACTCTTTAGTACCATTGGTCAATGATTATACTTAAATTTTTAGATTTGTGTGTGTGTGTGTGTGTGTGTGTGTGCGCACGCACAGGTGCACACACACACCTTTTTAAGACAGGTCTCCCTGTAGCCCCATCTGGCCTGGAATTTGCCATGGAGACCAGGATGGCCTCCATCTCACAGAGATCTACCTGCTTGTGCCTCCCAAGTGCCAGGATTAAAGGCATAAGCTACCATGCCCAGCTAATTTTTAGAATTTTTAACCAATATACACATATATATATCATTCAGTCAACAAGAAGAACATAATGGACAAATATACTTTCCAATACGTTTGGATTTCATATTTATTGTACGATCTGAAACCTCAGTCTCAAAATAGTATCTGGATTTATGAGCTATAATTCTTTTTTTAAAGTATTTTATCTCTTCAGTATCATACTTTTTTCATTGTATACTTGTTTTCTATATAATATATTTAATAAACTACAAATAAATATAGACCTCAGCAACAGTGGTATCCTGTTTATTTAGTTCACAATTTGAGACAATGCCATCAAAACATGAAATCCCATGGCCGGGTGTGGTGGTGCATGCCTTTAATCCCAACAGAGGCAGGCAGATCTTTGTAAGCTCAAGGCTAGCCTGGTCTACATAGCAAGTTCAGGCCAGCTGAGGCTACAGGGAGACCCTGCCTCAAAAAAAAAAAAATTAAATTCCACAGTTTCAAATCATCTCTAGGTCAAAATACATCCATTTCTACTTGAATACTATTATCCACTGTAACAAAACATAAACAGTCTTCTTTCTAAAGATTTGATGAATCTGGAAAAATCTTCACATCAACAAACATTCAAAATGAAAGAATGGAAGTGATGCCATGTTTAGTCCTGGCTCTCCTTAGTTGATGTCATGGTTACTTTGGAAATGCTGTATTTCTTCATGTCAGCAGAACTGGTTTTTATAAGTACTTCACTTCTCTAAACTCCAGGAAAGGGCTGTTGACCATGCTCTATGAACACATCCTCTGAAAAGTCACACTGCATGTTTTAATTTTTCTGTACTCATGAATGGCAGTAGAGGTGCGACACTGCGTGGCAGAGCACGTGCTCAGCATGCACAAAGCTTAGGGTCAATCCCCAACACTGAAAGCAGACAATTAATGTTGGCAGTAGTGTTATAAATCTACTGCCCTAGGTTGATAATAAATAAATACATGTTTTAAGCTCAAAAAAGTTCTGGAACAACTAAATGATCATCGAACTCAATAGCATTTAGTAAAAGCCAGTATCTGGCATCTTCAGTAAAGCAACCTTCTCTTTACAATCTAGGCATGTTTGTGACTGTCTCAGAGAAATGTAATGAACATAGAAAAGTGTAGAGCCCCCAGGAGAAAGCAAACATCAGAAAAAAAAAATATTTGACTCTTCCAGTCAAATCAAGGGCCTTCACATGAATAATGCAATAATAATTTATATATTACTATTCTTAGATGAAAAACAATTTGAAGGTTGGGTATACAGCTCCATGGTAGAGCATTTGCCTAGCATGTATGAAGACTGGATTCAATTTCCAGTCTCACCAAATAAAAAAGTGTTTAGAGATTGTTGCCAGGCAACTCTGCTTCCGGCCAGCCAACATAGGGCAGTCTCCCCTCAACCTGCCTGCTAGGATATCTCCTACACCAGTCTTTTTTCCTTATAGCTTAGCTCATACCCTGCCTAGTGCCCAAAAGCATTCTGAAGATAAACAGGATACAGTAAAGCAACATGTTACAAATTCAGAACAGAGATAACTCTAGTCCCATAGCCAATGCACATAAAGAAAAAACTGTGATCTGTTAAATTTCAATCCTTTTATTATTTCTACTATTCTGAGTCCAGGCTAGTCCACTTTTCCCAGTAAACAAGCCTTTAAAAAGCAAAAATATTTTTGAAGAACTTATGGAACAACTTCAGTGAGCTATTACAAGTTATAAACTCTAAGGAAAATACAACATGTCTCAGTTGAAACAAAATATTTTCAGTTAAATATTCGTCACTAGTAAAGAACTCACCTTGTATCAAAACCTCGGACAACTGCACCCATTGACTTGGCTGCACCTGCAGAAGCAAGTCCGGCAACACCACCACCAACTATCAGGATCTGGGAAAGAAGAACCCATTATGCTTTAAAGTTCATTATCAGTTGACTGTAAGAGATCACCAGTTAGTAACTACGGGTGCCTGGTGCATATAGTTAGCATTCAATAAATGGTGCTAACGGCAGTGCTGATCAGCAACATGGATGGAGCAGACAATTCCCTAGCTGAAGCATCAGTGTTTTTAAAAATTCATCAAGGAGCCACCTGTGATAAAGCAATGGCCAATAATCTTCCCTAAAAATAGCCTGACAATCACCATCTCAGAGTAAAAGTCATTGAAGCACAATCAGCGTTACACATGTTAAAAATTAACAAGTGCATTCACACTGTACAACAAATACTACAAAAGCGCCTACAATCTCATTCTAACTACCTCTTCCCTCTCAAATGCCAAGGCTTTCTGTGTTCATAAAACATCGAAAGGTGTCAAAGATGGGCACAACTTTAGCAAAACATCTACCCAATTCCTATTTTGAGTTTAAATACTCTGAACAGCTGGTAACCAATACATAATTAAGAACCATTTTGAATGATCCATATCTGAACTCTGAAGCAATGCAAGCAAATCTCCCTAACCACAGAGGGATCAGAGCCAATTGAACCAAGAGTTCCACGAAGAGTCTTCCCCTGCACAGAAACGAAGTGAGAAAAGTGTTGTTTCTAGTCTGGAATGGGCCTTCCTGAAAAAACAAGTTCTGTTGTACATCCCATTAATGGTTAGTTAAGGCAACTCCTTGTTCCTATAGGAAAAAAAGGTCACCCACAGAAACAGAGAAGCTTGTAAACATCCACATACCCAGCAGGCCCTTGTCTCTTCCACTTTTTTAAGAGGCCTACACTAATCAAAACTCCATGTTCCAGTGATCCCTAGGCAATGCCTCAGAAACCACGGAGAGAAATGCTTATGATGGTAGTTTGTTCAGAGGAGAGGAAAGTCCACAGACATGGGGTCAGAAAGGTACCACAGCAAACAAGCAGACTCTAAACTCCAAAGCACCAACCATGTTCCACATGCAAGTCTCAACATTGCTAAAAAAGAAAATAATAAGTAAAAAAAAATAACACAGGTATATGAAATCCCAGGAATCAGCATCTAAGGCAAGAAGGACTGGGGAAAGGGGGCAGGGCAGGGAATAGTGACCTCAGACCTATCTGAGCTATAGAGTAAGACAGGGTCCCAAAAACAAAAAGAAAAAAATGAAAAGGATACATGATTACAGCTAGGTGAAATAAAATTTAAGAGAGCTGTTGCACAGCAAGAGACCTAACTGAGCTAGGGAGATGATGGCTCAGCAGGTAAAGAGCTTGCTATGTAAGCATGAGGACCTGAGTTCAGATCCCCAGCACCCATGAAAAATGTCATGTGTGAGGTGCGCATCTAAGCCATACTAAGTGACCTATAGAACTTTGTTTTCCACTTCCTCTCAGATCCCCTTCTACCTTGCTCATCACACTCCAAGGCCAATGGCCTTCTTTTCTTATGAAGCACCAAACTCTGGGTCTGGAGAGATGGTTCAGCATTTAAGAGCACTAACTGCTCTTGTTGAAGACCTAAGTTCGATCCCAGCACCCACAAGGAGCTAACAAACATAACTCCAGTTCTAGGGGATCCGACGCCCTCTTCTGATCTCCGCCAGCATTGCACAGCATGAGTGTACCTACCTAAACACATGTGATACACTCACACACATTAAGTAAAAATAATAAAAATATTTTTAAAAAAGAAAATGCCAAAGTCTCTTCTGTCTTAAGATCTTCATATGTGCTCTCCTTTGGGATAGCACCCTAAAACCCTAGTTTCTTTCTTCCCATTCTCCGAATTGCAGTTCAGAAGCCAGAGGGCCTTCCTCATTCCCTAGCTTAGGCATCTTCTCAATGCTATCCTGTCATCTGCTTCATTTTGTATAACTACATTTATAGTGTATATTCATCTGGGTTTTCCCCATACTCACTGTGACCCCATCAGAATGAAAGTTTTGTGCAGTAAAGATGGTATTCATCTTCTTCAGACCACATACCCCGCTCCTACAATACACCCTACACATCATATGCCTTCAAGGGACTTTCTGTGTATGTATGAGTGCCTACATGCATGTATGTGCACCATGTGCATGTCTTGTGCCCATGGGGCCAAAGGAAGGCATCAGATCTCCTGGAACTGCATCTACAGACCACTGTGAACCCCTAGATGTAGGTGCTGAGAACTGAACTCAGGTTCTCTGCAAGAGCAGGAGGTACTATTAACCACTGAGGGATGTCTCCAGCCCTGAGTTTTTTTCATTACAATTTATTTATTTTGTGTGCAGAGGAAGGGGGATGTGCCATGGTATACATGTAGAGGTCAAAGGACAGCTTGTAGGATTTGGTTCTCTCCTTCCACCAAGTAGGTGCTGGTGACTGAACTCAGGTCATCAGGCTAGGGAGGCATGTACTTTTACTCACTGAGCTATCTCACAGGCCACTGAATTTAAATTCTAGTAAAAACAGTCACTTTTCTACCTTTTAATAGCTAATTGACTCACCTGTTAAGCCTCTTGATTTTGACTTCATTGTTTAATTACAGCTTTCCTCTAAAACTCCACACATTTCTAGAAAGATTCTAATCAAAACTAAGTAATTCAAGCCAGGCGTGGTGGTGCACGCCTTTAATCCCAACACTTGGGAGGCAGAGGCAGATGGATCTTTGTGAGTTCGAGACCAGCCTGATCTACATAGTGAGTTCCAGGACAGCTGGGGCTACAAGGAGACCCTGTCTCAAAAAGACCAAAAAAAAAAAAGTAAGTAATTCAAGAGGGTTTAGGAAACACAAATTAAACTGGATATGCCTTTTTTTAAAAAGACAGTACAGGAGGACACAAAGTTGCGGAGAGTAAGGTAGGGATGGAAAAGGGGTGGGGGTCTAAATATGATCAAAATACATTGTATGAAATTCTCCAACCAATAAAAATATTTTTTTAAGTAATCAACTACACATCAATGCACTCAGCCAGTTTAAGAACAGCCATCAAGTTTCTGGCCCCTTTGAAAGTCAGACATTTCCTAGTGACCCTAAGTAATAAATTGGAATTTAATATTTCATCTATCACATAAAGTTTAGTATTTCCCACACCATCTCTCTGTGTTGTTTGCTCATACATTCCTGATAAATATTCTGGCCTCCATTGAAACCACTTGTTTTCTCTCACCTAATCTGTTTTGCTCAAAGCTGTCCATTTGCTTTTCCCTAAGAGGTTTATTTGTATGACAATTTTGAGTTTATATAACAAGGTACTTGGGAACAGAATGCAGGCAGATGGATGACAACACTGAATGTCCTGTTCTCTATACCTTGCCTCAGGGTTTGTTTTGTTATTTACTGGTCTTCATAGTGAAGGGGTCACAACATAATCTCCAGCTGGTGCCCTCTCATCCCCATTTCCCATAATTCACTGCTCTCTTTCTCCCTCTGTTGCAAATCTGTTCAGGAAGCAGCACCCTTTCCCTCTGGCCAAGTACCCTGATTACAACACCTTCCATTTCCTGCCCTCTTGACCCAAAGAAATTTGACAAAAGTGAAGAAACCAAAGAAGTGTTTTCTATGAACTACAGTGTTGCAATAATTGGGAAACCCAGAATTTGCTGAATAATATCTTGAAGCTTTGCTAAAAATAGTCATAAATAGGCCCACAAACCAAGTTATCCAAAATCCACTCATGAATTCAAGTTAGTAAGTCAGAGAGAGAGAGAGAGAGAGAGAGAGAGAGAGAGAAAGAGAGAGGGAGGGAGGGAGGGAGAGAGGGAGGGAAAAAAAGACAGACAGACTAGAACTTCTAGAAAAAGCCAAAGTCCGCTTTTCTGAAACATTCTTAAATGTTCGGCACTAAGGCTTTGTCATAACTGCAAGCTCTACAAAAGTCACCAGTGAAACTAACACACAGTAAAACTTTTTTAAAATAACTGTATTTTGGGGCTGGAGAGATGGCTCAGCGGTTAAGAACACTGGTTATTCTTGCAGAAGACCCAGGTTCGAATCCCAGCACCCACATGGCAGCTAACAACTGTCCATAACTCCAGTTCCAGGGAATCCGACAGCCTCTTCTGTCCTTCACGGGCATTGCACAACATGGGTGCACTTACCTACATGCAGGCAATACATGCATACATAAAATAAAAATAATAATTTAAATACTTTTTTTTAAAAAGCTGTATTTTATGACAATACATACCCTTGCTTTCAGTTTTTATCATGAAGAAACACTGGAAGCTGTACATACCTTAGCTGGAGGAACTTTTCCAGCAGCTGTGATCTGACCAGTAAAAAACCTTCCAAAATGATTAGCTGCTAGAACAACAGCCTTATAACTGAAAAAATAAACAGATAACTCCATAAGATAAAAGATCAAAGGTCCATATATTATCATAAGTTATCAATTACACTTCGTCAAAAAACTGTTTACATAGTAGTTACTGTATGGCAAGAATATTTCTGAGCATTGTATATATATTTACCCCTTCACCCTTCACACTAAGCTCTGAACAAGTGCAAGGATTACATTTACCTCATAGATTAGGAAATTGAGACACAAAGATGAAAACACTTGCCCATGCAGTCAGCCAGTTGGTAAAGAGCAGAACTGGAAGTCTGCCTAGGCAGCCTGTCGTGCAGGCATTCATCCATCTTGCTATCCAGCCCCTTCCTAACAAATAGTGCAGAAGTCAGTCAAGAGAGAAGAGTAAAGAAATAAAAACACAAAAATGCTCACAGTGCTTTTTGGAGACTCCACAGCTTTCAAATTTTTCATTTTACTAAGTTGACTAAATTTACTTGGATGATTTTGTAGCATAGAGGGAAGGCTTTCAAATAAAGAAATTAACTTAGCTGTTCTTAGCTGTTCTTGGAGAACAGAAACAGCACTACCCTTGATCTCTAGTACATGAAAGCCTGGGATTCTATTTGACTGACTATATGACCTTGGGCAAATTTAATCTTGGTTCCCTTGCCTATAAAATGGAGACAAGAAGAACATCTATCTCTGAAAGTTTCTATGAGGATAAAAGGGTAAAATGTCACTGTAATGCCTGTGACATGGTAAACGCTCACTTCATTACTGATTTAGCCAGAGAAACAAGTTATCCAATAAAAACTATGAGTATAGCCCATCTTTTCTTTAATAGGATATTTTGGACACACTAATCTCATGTCCATATATTTTTGACTTAAAATTCACTTCTGAAGATTCTTACTCAGATTAAATTCAACTATTTATAATTAAGACCCACCTGCTAACATGCAGCAAAATTCTCCCTGTTCATATTTTTATAATACTTTATAAAACAATTGATGCAAAAAAAAAAAAGCATGCTATCATCACTACTTTTACTTTTAAGTTCATCATCCTTAAACAGGACGAAGCAGGAAAACAGTATTTTGGGGATAGAAAGTAGATGTGTGTGTGGACACTGTTCTTCATCTAAACACGACTTGCAGTCAATGCAGCTCTAATTGAACCTATTTATACAGTGTCTCATAGATTTTCATTTGCTCAAATGCTTCTGCAGCTAAAAGCACTAGTGGTCGGGGCTGGAGAGATGGCTCAGCGTTAAGAACACCAGCTGCTCTTGCAGAAGACCCAGGTTCGAATCCCAGGATCCACATGGCAGCTAACAACTGTCTGTAACTCCAGTTCCAGGGGATCTGACAGCCTCTTCTGTCCTCAGGCATTGAACAACACAGATGCACTTACCTACATGCAGGCAATACACATACACTAAAAATAATAAATAAAATATTTTTTAAAAAGCACTAGTGGTCCTGATCTTCTCTCATCTATGTGCATCTTACATGACAGAATCAAAAGCACTCTTAACACTTTACATTGCACTTTCCATATAAAATTTTTAATCCCATACTGCATAGCAATAACTCTTCCAAACACTAAATAAATAGGGCAACAATTTATTTTGTCCTCTAGCATACTTTTTAAACCATAAACAATATCTTCATAAGTCATCTGCTACATTATATTAAGGAAAAAAATGTGTTTCTATTTATTATCTGTGTGCACGCCAGTGTGTGTGTGTTCATGTGTGGAGGCACTTGTGGGATCAGAAATCAACCTCAGGAGCTCTGCACCCTTCTTTTTTTTTCAGAAAAAGTCTCACACTAGGACCTGGAGTTGATGATTAGATGAGGCTAGCTGGCCAGTGAGCTCCAGAGATCCACCTAGCTTCACCTCCCCAGCACTGGGAGTACAAACTTGCACCACCACATCTGGCTTTTTACGTGGTTGTTATGAACCAAACTCAAGTCTTCATGTTTGTGCAACAAGTACTTTACTGATTGATCCATCTCCTCAACCCCCGAACTGTGTTTTTAACTAGCTTTAACTTTGTGATCTCATTCTCAACAAAAGGAAACAGCTGAGACACAAAGTAGAGTCTGTGGCATATTTGATAACATGCCATGTTTTATATGTTACAACTTAAAACATAAAACCTAGGCCAGCGAGAAGGCTCAGCAGATAAAAGTGCTTGTCACGTAAGCCTGATGATATGAGTTTAATCCTGGGAACCCAGGCACAAAAAAGACAGATGCTTTTTGTTATCCCATCCTACTATGGCAGGATGGGAAGTGAAGACAAGAGAATTGCCTGGAAGGTCCTACAGGCCAGCCAGCCTGCAGTCCACAGCACAGTACAAAAAAGGGCCCCTTTCTCAACAAGGCAAGAGAGAACCTACCCCTGAAAGCTGTCTTCTGACCTCCACGTGTGTGCCCCCTCTGTTTCTCTGTCTGTCTCTGAAAACCTGGAGATAGGTTAATGCTTATGAAATCAGCTTCTAAAGAAACTAATCGAAGCTGGGTGTGGTGGCACATGCCTTTAATCCCAGCTCTCTAGAGGCAGAGGCAGGCGGATCTCTGTGAGTTCAAGGCCAGCCTGGTCTACATAGTGAGTTCCAGGACAGCTGGGACTACAGGGAGACCCTGTCTCAAAAAGACCAAAAAATAAAAAGAAAATAAAACCTAAGAAAACTTCTGGCTCATGCATGAGTCTTCAAAAGACTATTCATATCAGGCTTTTTCCATGCAGTGTTTTTCTTTCAATGCTTTTGTTTGTCCCTTATACACATTAGCAAATGAACAGTTTTTATGCTTAAAACTTAATTCAATTAGTTTCTTTTTTTTTTTTTTTTTTTTTTGGTCTTTTTGAAACAAGGTCTCCCTGTAGCCCCAGCTGGCCTGGAACTCACTATGTAGACCAGGCTGGCCTTGAACTCACAGTGATCTGCCTGCCTCTGCCTCCCAAGTGCTGGGACTATAGGCATGCAGCACCATGCCCAGCTTCGATTAGTTTCTTTAGAAGCTGATTTCATAAGCATTAACCTATCTCCAGGTTTTTCCCACCCTCTCAGGCAGTCAGCAGTACAATGAAATAATGCAATCATTCCTGCCCCTCCCAGCACGACAGGTATGATTATGGCCACTCTCCCATGAACAGAAGGGATCTTAGAACCCAATCCTTCTCTACATGACATTCCAAGCAAGAAACTGGAAATGCTTTCTCATTCTGTAGGCTGCCTTTTCAATCCATTAATAGGTTCCCTTGTAGTACACAGCTTAATTTTATGAACTCTCACTTGTTGATTGTTGGTACTATTTTCCTGGGTGACCAGAGTCCTATTGTTGGTCCTATTTTCTGGATGACCAGAGTTTAATTTGTGTTACCCTACATGGAGGATACTGCTTCTCCTAAAAGCCATAGGTTGCCAAATAAAAAGCCCAGTGCCAGATATAGGATGGTTCCCCTCAAGTTGTTGGTCAGGGATGTCCTGGAGACCCCCTAAACAATACAGGCTATTGCCATTTGCTCTTTGTTGTCCACCAGAACTTGATGGTAAGACCCTATTGCTGAAGATACACAAACCTTGATCATAACACCACTTGAAAAATCAAGTTGGTACTGACCAGGAAGCTTCCTCTCTGATGGCTAGCTTTCATAGTACTAGAATGTGCTGTGCAGGCTTATAAGAGGACGAAAAGTCAACAGTCTTATCCAGCTGTGAACCCCCTAAGCTACAATGACAATAGGCTTTACAAGATATGCCAATTGGTATAATAGTGGCATGAATGCTAAAGGAGCAACCAATCATTCTAATTGACTTTAAGGCCTCCTCTACAGGAAGAAACTCCTGTCTAGTATTGCAAATCTGACCAAGAACCCATGTTGGGGAGCTCATAGGCCCCAGGGGTGAAACTATGACCATTATTTTGCTAAATGGACATAGTATCAAACTCCCCTCTAAATTTGTATCTCTATACCCATAGATTAGTGCAGCTCTCAGACCTCTTCAGAGAAGTCTCTTTGTATGTGCTTCAGAGAGCAGTTAATACAGAAACCCACAACTGGTCAAAGTGCAGAGAATAAGTCTCTGTGGAGTACTCAACTACAAATGGGCCATCTATATCATACCCTCTCCCTTCAAGGCTCAGGGACCATCATGGAAGAGGGGGCAGAAAGATTTTAAGAGCCAGAGATAAGGGAGGAACAGAGTAAAACAGTGTCTTCTGGATATAACAAGACCACTGTACTCATAAACTCACAGTAGCTGTGGTTGCCTGCACAAGACCTGTACCAATATCAAGCCAGTCAGCATTCCAGAATGAAGAAATAGGGATTCACAAGCCTCCATTCCTAGCTGAAGAGCTATTGACAGTTGATGGCTCCAAGGGAAGGGAGAATCAGTTTTCTTTAAGAGTGTCATCCCTAATAGGTTGACTATGCTCCAGTGGATGGCCCCATGCTCACGAGTGTATGGGCAGCACAAATTGGATTCAGTGGGAGAGAGAAAGAGAGAGAGGGGAGAGAGAGAGAGAGAGAGAGAGAGAGAGAGAGAGAGAGAGAGAAAGGACAAGAAATTGGAGACATGGAGGTAGAGCTGGGAGAAGTTAGGAGGAAGAACAGGGGTGAATATGACCAAAAAACTTTACATTCATGTATGAAATTCTCCAAGAATTAATAAAATATTTTTTAATTCAAACCAAATAATTCTGGAGGGAAAAAAAGCAACAGAGAATGCAGCAGTGCTAACAGGCAAATGAAGTTCATTATCACTGATGGCCACAGGGGAAGAGGGCGGCCCTCAGCTAGAAATACAGGCTTTGGCACCAGATGAAGAAAACTCCCTCTAACACTAGGCATAATGGCATATGCCTGTAATCAGCCTAAAAAGGCTGAGGCAGGAGGATTACTTTGAGGCCTGTGGCTACCCTGAACTTAGGGAGTTCTAAGTCAGTCTAAATTCAGAGCAATTA